AAGTTTTTGCCTATATATTTAATGATTCTAAGTCTCTATTTTAAACGATATGACTTCTTAAAAAGAACAAGAATTGTTTTTTAACTGAAGTGTTATCAGCAAACAGACGAACAGTAGATTCTAGTGCAACAGCAATATCATTAATGTAGTGATAAGTAAAAAATAGAGGTCCAAGAATTGAACCTTGTGGAACTCCTGCATCTATCCTACCAACATCAGAAGATGATAAAAACTTTCTGTTGTCTGTTACTTATTTTTTTTATCCAATACACGAATTTTTCTGTAGTTCCATACGATTTAAGCTTGACTATTACACCTGTATGCAAGACTCTGTCAAACGCTTTAGAAATATCACAGAAAACTATACAAGTGGTTTTTTTACCTTCTAGATCGAAACAAACATTGTGATATAATTCAACTAATTGGTACACTGTAGAATGACTAGGCATAAAACCTGATAATATTAGTTATACAGGTCTTTGGCAGGGTACATGGTCTCATGTTCGCTGTCAGAACCTCATGTACCCTGAGCCGAAGTACTGCGACATTTTTCTTTGCAGTATGACAAGTACTGATAAAATAATGATTTTTCCATAATATAATTATGTTAGTGCTTAAAAATAACTCTTTTTAATGTTTTACCAACTGTTGATAAGAGAGAAATTGTTCAATAATTTGATGGAGAATGCATATCATCATTTTTTTAAAAAGATACCTGACCTTAGCTGCTTTCCATATATTTGGATAAATTTGAGTGAAAAGGGGGATAAATTAAAAAGAAGTTCAAGAGGTTTACAGACTGTGTCAGCAGTGTACTTAAGCATATCGTGACTAATACCATCAACACCCGAGGCCTTGCCGAGATTTAAATTTTTAAAACATCTCATATTTCATTATTTGCGATTCTAAAAGTGTCAAAATAACTCTCTGTTTTCGGCTCTAAAATAGGCACACATCAGTGTTACTTTAATATTGGCTATACTACAAAAATAATTGTTCAATACATTTGATTGATCTTTGTTTAGTGGAGGTCGCGTGTCTGATTTACTTAAGCATGACGGCGTAAGTAATATAAGTATTAACGGGGGTTACGCTAACTTACGCTCTCTGCACGTGAGCGTAATCCCTGGATATCGAGGATGAGGATGAGAGGGCCTAGTAAGTTGTAAGAACTTGTGCCAATCCCTTCGACTATTCAAAGTCAATAAAATATGCTTGAATGAAGCAATATAACTAATCTATACACGCATAGCCTTCTGCTGTTCTAAAGTTCAATCACATTCGCGGTTGTCTTTCTCATTGCTGGATATATTAGTGAAAGTTGTGGTATTTGAACTGAGAGTTGGTCTCATAAAGAACGGGTCGTTTGGTGGTTAAAGGGAAGTAACACCTGCACTCATTGAGAAATTCTAGTTTTTGTTATTGAATTTTAATTTGAAACGATTTTAAAACCGTTACGTCAAATTACTGCAAAGGACATGTATCAGGGATGTCAAGGAATGCATTTGGTTATAAAATGATAAGATAGAAAGGTGGCACTGAGGTACAACATCGTATGCAGATAAGTGTCTATAAGACCCTTTTTTGGGCCCCGGTTTATTCGGATTTTGCCCTCCTTAATTTGTTCAAATATGTCCTATTGTATTACATGTACAAAAACTAAAGGGAAAGTTTGAACGAAATTGAGATTTTGGAGGTACCAAAAGGGGTAGGGTAAATCACAAATATAATTTGCTGTTTTCAAAATAAACTGAAAACCAAAATCGTCCCATTTCTGTGTTTGCGTAAACTAAACAGGCATATATAAAAGAATGAAAAATGACAGAAATGTAATCGTCACTTAAAGATCGTTTATAATAAACAGAGGATTGAGTCAGGGGGTGCTTTTAGATAATTTTTAAATGAAAAGTGTTTTGTTTTCTCAATAATTTCCTTTCTAATTTATATTTTGAGTTGAAATTTTCAACTTTACTTATTTTATTACACTTATATAAAATACATTTTCCCTACACACTTTCCTCCTGTTTTATACTGAGTTATGGCTTCTGGACACATCTCAATCTTGGCAATTTCAAATACCTCTCATTCTAAAGTACATTAAAAGGTGCAGGACGCCCTTCATATGCAATAAGTATATGATAGTAATTGTTAATATTGTATATCATATATATCATATACTATGTGTTAAGCAACTGTGGCTGAAGTGAGTTCCATGTCCTGATTTGTTTTCTTACTTATCAAAGTTAACCGACAAATCAAAGATGGCATTTGCCACCACAACTGTAGCAAAATGATTCGTTTAATAAATGAAGATTGATTTGTTGGTAATTTTAAGTCTCCTTCCTTCAAGGAAAGAATCTGTTTTAATCGTTAAAATTAACCCATTTCATTGTTTTATCAATTGTTGTGCCTGTTTCCAATGTGTATGCGCTGATTGTACATAAAGGACATTTTGGGATAAGCATGCAACTTGACAAAGATATTGAATATATAATGAAAATTAATATGTGAAAGTTTCAAACTTATCCCACTAGGTCTTTTTACTTAAAAAAACAGTTTTTTCTTTTGTTTTGGAATACACGGACTGAAGTGCATCAACACCAAATATTTCCATCTCAACCACCCACTTACTGTCTTTCCATACTCACTCTTTCCCACATCGACTTAGTCTCTCTCCCACACTCACTCTCTCCCACACTCTCTCTCCTCTCTCTCTCTCACTCTCTCTCCCATACTCACTCTCTCTCCCACACTCACTCTCTCCCATACCCACTCTCTCTCCCACACTCACTCTCTCCCGTACTCACTCTCTCTCCCACACTCACTCTCTCCCGTACTCACTCTCTCTCCCACACTCACTCTCTCCCATACTCACTCTCTCTCCCACACTCACTCTCTCCCACACTCATTATCTCTCCTACTCACTTCCAATTAGAAAAACGACAACATTGAGCATGGAGTATTCAATCAGAGGTAACCTTTCACAGAAGCTACCTCCAATATCAAAATACAAACATATCCGAAGTAACAGTCTCCTATCAGAAACCGTGTAGAATTTGTACACGTAACAATATACAGTCGCTTCACGACAAAAACTAAGCTAAAAGGCCAATCAGGGGTTAGGGGGGTTTTGACTACAACATGAACAACGCTAGGGGTATCGTACAGATTTTATATAAAAACAAATCTTTCTTCGCAGGTGTGCAGTTTTTATAACATTAAATATACTATTACAACAATACTGTAACTCTCGGTCATTTTAAAGGCACAAAGAGACATTTGACATCTGTAGCATGATATTTGCCTCCCCTATAGAACATAGCTATTATCTACCACAGATGACTGTAGAATGATATTTGCCTCCCTACAATACATATATATAGCTATCATAACGCATATAGCATGATCTTTGCCTCCTTTATCGAAGGAAAACTGTAGCACAATCATTGTCTCCTCTATAGTATAAAGCTACCACAGGGGAGTGTAGCACGATCTGTGCCTCCCCTATTAGTGTAAAGCTACCACAAGGAAACGGTAGCACGATCCTTGCCTCCCTTATAGTATATAGCTACCACAGGGGACTATTGCACGAGCTAGCAGGAGACTGTAGTACGATCCTTGTCGCCTCTATAGTATATAGCTACCACAAGGGACTGTAGAACGGAATTGCTTTTACATGACCTTGGACAGACGGACATACGGACGTAATGACAGACGATTTGGGATTATAGAATTCGCATGAATATTTAACATAGATAATTTCGCGAAACCAATTACAAAAAGCAATAATGATATTATACATGTTACAACAGAAAAGAAACACGTTGATAGAGGTAAATCAGGACTTATTATGAACAAACAAAATATTAACATGGAGACCCTTGAAAGTAGAACAGGATGAAGACCAGGTATTCCGGAAGGGTAAGCGTCCCCTGCTTCCTTCAACGACACCCGCCATGTAAATCTAGTTCAAATCACAGTTATCTGCTTCTAAAATGTGTACATGTAAATGAATTTACAATATCTTCCCCGTTTTCGAGGCAGATACTATGATCAAATCAAAGTAATCTCATGTGAGATAAGGCAGTGTAATGAGAATTTAAAAAAAAACCGTTGATATCCTTATTGCACAAAAAATATCATAAGTTCCGAAAGCCTTAAAATTGAAAATTGCTCAAACATACATCATGAATTAATTCCCTTTGTTGTGGGGAAACATGAGTAATTGTTTCTCTTCGGTTGATGGTGTTTCACGAGGATTTTCGGAATCTAAGGTTGCTATCATCCCCGACCATTTCCGTCGGAGCAAATGCTGTACTGTAAGTAATATTTTGTTTGACATGTAGAGGCCAAAATATCAGTATGCGGGAAATAGAATGTCTAAAATTCCAATTTTTTTTTTGTACTCACTTAAGATAGAGAAGTATTTGAAATTGCCAAGTTTGAGATGTGTCCAGAAGCTATAACTCAGTATAAAACAAAAGTAAAGGGTTTTCAGAGAAGGATTATATTACAAGACGCGTTGCCTTCAGACACAAATATAAATTAAAATGCTTTAATTATGTTTTTCTTTTCATAGTTATAGTTCAACTGGCTCCAACTTGGAAATATGATTTTAGTTATTTTATTGGTATCTTGTAAAACAAGGTTTGTAGACAAAAATGTCTCAGAATAAGAATGAAAATATTGATATTTCTCATTTCATATGCGAAGATCGCCATTCATTATATTTAAGGTATAATACATATGGTATGCTACATGTACAGTTGTGGAAACGCACAACGCACCAAAAATAGCGTGCGCACACCGTGCATACATCGTTCACACACCGTCCGCACATCGTCCACACATGGTGCGCACAACTGTGCGATTTAGCAATCGTTCGCCCCGTTGTGCGATTCTCTCCGCACAACTGTGCGATTTGGTATCATTTGAAGATCAAAATTACGGAATGACAAACAAACGGAAAGCTTGTATACGATAATGTACACTGTGTATATATCTGTAATATCTCTCCCCCCCCCTGAATATTATTATGTAGGATCGAAACAATGTCAAATATATCATACTTAATTACGTCTTGGATGCAGTTCCTTAAAACGTTATTTTTTTTAAAGAAATCTTGTTGACAATCCCTTATGTTCATGTGGACATTTTGTAAAAGACAGTTCCAACTATTAGTTGTTTTGTACTAATCACAATGAATCACGCCGAAGGTAATTGACTCCTTTGCCTTACAACTGTTGATTTACTACTGTTTGAGGATGTACCAAAAACGTATGACCAAAATGTAAAAGTTTTTGTATGGCTACTCAAAATTTGATCAAATGAACAAGCATTTAGAATTTAACTACATTAAGATATCATGTAAAATTAACCACCCATCCAACCGGGTAACACTCCATCAGTTATTTATCCCTAATATCATGTTCTATCTTTCTTTCTTAACATTTTCTAATTTACATATTCAGGCTAGCACGGCTTTGGGGCTGCGGTGGCCAAGTGGTTAAGGCGTCGTCTGACATTCTGCTACCATTAGCCCTTCACAGGATTCCAGGCCTATGTGGGGCAGTCGCCATGTACTGGCCGTAGGTCGGTGGTTTTTCTCCGGGAACTCCGGCTTTCCTCCACCATCAAAACCTTGCACGTCCTTAGATGATAATAGCTGTTAATAGGACGTAACACACAATTAGCTATGCTTGTCTTGTACAATAGTACTTGTTTCCCAATCATCAGAATTAAATGTATTTTGTAATGATACATGTTTTTTATTGACACGAATAAAATATGGTTTAAACTAAAACTGACAATGATCTCCAAGCAGTGCTAATTTAAATGAATTCCAACGCTGCCAATTTGCGCCGCAGATTCAGGAACACATATATATAGGATCTTAAATGAGTTTTCATTTCGTATGAGATTTTATGAAACGAGTCTTAGGAATTTATATTTTTGCGAGCCTTGGTGAGAGCTTTTTATCACATAACTTAGAAAACTTACATTTTTGACAGGTTTTAAAGCCAAAATGTAGAGGGCTTAATCAGACGGAGACAGACATTTTGTTGCGCCATTCACAATTTATGATGTCACGTCATTTTCCATATTACGCGCTTTAGAGTGACTTATGTTAGCTAGATAGGGCGCTATATCAAATGTTGTATATTTATTTATTATGACGTCACAATCGATTTATGACTGGCACAGCCATAGAAAAAACGCTCCAGGGTATTACACTAGTGACATATGTAACAATATTACACGGGCGAATTCACTGGATAACAGGCCGATTATGTGATATTTTTTTAGCTCTCTTTGTCGATATTTTTCTCTCTCTCTTATCCTTTGTCTGTCTGTCTATCAGTTTTATTCAAATACTCGTGCAGTAATTCTTCAAGCTTTTAATAACTTACATATGCAACTAAGATTAAATCTGTTACTTTTTGGCAATGAAAACCTGGCTTTGGGTGTAAACTGTAATGTATTCTAACATGTGCAGTCCTTCATAAATTCCAGCGGAACCTTTTGAACATAAACTATATGTATATATTTATTACAATGCACATGTAATTAATTCTTTTAATTATTGAATTTGAAATTAATTGTCTACGTCATCACTTGTATATATATGAAATATTTCGTTGATAGTAGATGGCTTCATAAGTTGCTATAACTTGTGCCAAATCCTTTGTACTGATTTTGGACAATAAAATATGTTTAAAAACAAGTTTTTTTCAACGTCGAAAGAACAAACATTTTTTTGAACGTATTTAATCTGTCGAAAGTAGCCGTCATAATTATGTTTCCTAGCGGCGAATTTAATTCAGTGTTCAAAGAAAGACAACTCGAACAGATCTACACTCAAATTTAAGTCCACACAGACTAATACTTCTTTTGTTCTTTTATCGTAAAAATGATAAACATTTTTTTATATCTTCTTAATGGCACATTTCTTATTGAATTTTTTAGTATATTAATTGAACCTAATTAATATGATTCTATAAATTAATTATTATTTGTCCAATATCGGTTTTGTTCGACGGTAATTGATTTTTCTTTTTTTCCTATTTAAATTTGATGAAAGTGGTGTTCAGGCCAAAACATAATACAACTTTTTTGCAAACAGTGTTTACCGATATAAGAATTCATACTGACTGCTAAGTTATTTGGGTTTTAACCCCAAAAATATATACACAACAGGATCCAATCCTTATATTTACATTTAGTAAAATTTTGATAATTTTCTGATGATTTTTAAAATATTGGACTAGTTAAAGTCTGATACCATGGAAGGTGCCGACGCATGTGACGTCAAACTCCCTGTGTGACGTCATCATGGTAAGATTTGTGAAGACATCTTTATTTCAATCCGAAACTTCTGAAAAAAGTCACCTGTCCGATCACATGGGTTTGCTCCGGGTACCCCGGTTTCCTCCCCATTAAGGCACCCCGCGCGCTAACTTCGAGGCCATCAAGAGTGATTATTATAAGTTGTTAAATCCTGTTTCGTAATCGTTTTAAAATATATAAAGTTTATATTAAATATTGATGATATACTAGATAATGCCGGTTACTGATGGGACCTGTTAGTTGGAGCTAACCATCCTCGATATCAAGGGGCTACGCTCACTTTCGCTCTCTAAACCCCTGGAATATGTCATGGCAAAATTGAAGGCTCGATGTGCGCCACCTTGTTGATGAGACAAGAAGACTAGTTCGATCCTTTGATGTACATAAAACGAATCTCGCGCTCACGTAACGGTAAAAATTGATAGGCTTTTAAGTCGGGCGTCTCTCCTTTGTAATCTTCAAATGACAGGTATCAGCCTAGCGATTGGTCAGGTGTTTTTTTTACCTGAGACCAATCAAACAGCTATCTTCGTGCCTTCAATTTTGCCATGACATATTCCAGGGTGGTAGGTAAATCTTGTACCCCGTTCCCGGACCCGGACTGAAACCCGTACCGGGAATATAAAGATATTTTAATATCTCATTAACGCGATGGTTTATAATTTTTATAAAAATATAGGATAATTTCAAACATTATTTTCTAAATGTGACAATTACAAAAATGTTTATTTATTATCTAATAATTTAGAAATCGACGATAATGTGTTTTTCAAGGGGGTAAAACTTGTACGCCGCAGTCAACCGTGAAAATCACGGTTTTTCGCATATAACTAGAAATTTAGGGAAAAATAACATGTTATTTTCAGATATATAGAAGAAAATACCTTACTGTTGATAATTATGTAAGTTTCGTTGAAATAAACAACATATTTCACATGAAATTCTGACTTTGTTGTGATCGCGGGCGAGGATCGCGGGTGTTTTGTTTCCTCCCGTACCCGTACTAAGGGGACATAACTTCGTCAAGACTCGTGCTAAATATGCATAATATGTAAAAACCTCCACCACCATCATCATATGGGGAAAATAGAAAAGTTTTAAAAAACAGTATTACCAAATGTGCAACAACAGAAAAACGGGGTTGACTGTGGGGTTTTTGCTATTGCTAACTTGGTAGAATTTTGTTTCAATGGGTTTAACGGGAGTGAAGAGTTAGAGTTTGACACCACTTGCATGAGACAACATCTTGTAGAATGTATTTCCAATGGAATCTTTACTAAGTTTCCTAGGAAAAAAATGAGTAGGCATAGGCAAAAGAAAACTTCTTTATCATTTGATATTTTTATTGATTGCGAAGCAGATGGGTGTCACATCTCAAATGTATTTGATGATATGGTTTCTTGTGATGCTGGCTGTGACAGATGGTTTCATAATAGATGTGTAAGTGATCTGTCAGATTTACATATATATGATGAGGTAATACATACATATCATATTAGACATTCATATTTTTTCATTTTTTTATTAGATTTATATTAATCTTTATCAGGATGTGAGATTATATCTACACTGAGTACCGGTAGTATAATTTGTGCATCTTTTCGACAGCTGCTACTGATTTCAATCTAAATTAATTCATGTCTAATACATTTAATTCGTGAGGCATTTGTCCCCCAATTAAAATATGAATTGATTCGTGATCTGTCAGAGAGTGTATGTACGCACTCAGCAGTATACCAATATCACTAATATTTGCGATAGAGCACCACAACTTGTCCCTAAGGTGTTCAGTTGAAGGTAGTGAACGTGATGGTAAGGAAGGTGATGGTAGTGAAGGTGATGGTAGTAAAGGTGATGGTAGTGAAGGTGACGGTAGTGAAGGTGACGGTAGTAAAGGTGACGGTAGTGAAGGTGATGGTAGTGAAGGTGACGGTAGTGAAGGTGATGGTAGTAAAGGTGATGGTAGTGAAGGTGATGGTAGTGAAGGTGACGGTTGTAAAGGTGGACCATTGGGTAGTGTCAGTACAGGAGGTAGATAGTGGGGAAGTATACATTCTTGATAGTTTGATAGGAAATACGAAAAATTTGTCAGCTTCTTTAGAAATGCAGTTGTCATCATCGTATGAGGAAAATAGATGAGTTTTAAAAACAGTATTACCAAATAAGCAACAACAGAAAAACGGGGTTGACTGTGGTTTTTTTTGTTATTGCTAACTTGGTAGAATTTTGTTTCAATGGGTTTAACGGGAAAAAAATGAAAAAATATGAATGTCTTATATGATTTGTATGTATTACCTCATCATATATATGTGAATCTGACAGATCACTTGCACATCTTTTATGAAACCATCTGTCACAGCCAGCATCACAAGAAACCATATCATCAAATACATTTGAGATGTGACATCCATCTGCTTCGCGATCAATAAAAATATCAAATGATAAAGAAGTTTTCTTTTGCCTATGCCTACTCATTTTTTTCCTAGGAAACTTAGTAAAGATTCCATTGGAAATACATTCTACAAGATGTTGTCTCATGCAAGTGGTGTCAAACTCTAACTCTTCACTCCCGTTAAACCCATTGAAACAAAATTCTACCAAGTTAGCAATAGCAAAAACCCCACAGTCAACCCCGTTTTTCTGTTGTTGCACATTTGGTAATACTGTTTTTTAAAACTTTTCTATTTTCCCCATATGATGATGGTGGTGGAGGTTTTTACATATTATGCATATTTAGCACGAGTCTTGACGAAGTTATGTCCCCTTAGTACGGGTACGGGAGGAAACAAAACACCCGCGATCCTCGCCCGCGATCACAACAAAGTCAGAATTTCATGTGAAATATGTTGATTATTTCAACGAAACTTACATAATTATCAACAGTAAGGTATTTTCTTCTATATATATGAAAATAACATGTTTTTTTCCCCTAAATTTCTAGTTATATGTGAAAAACCGTGATTTTCACGGTTGACTGCGGCGTACAAGTTTTACCCCCTTGAAAAACACAATATCGTCGATTTCTAAATTATTAGATAATAAATAAACATTTTTGTAATTGTCACATTTAGAAAATAATGTTTGAAATTATCCTATATTTTTATAAAAAATATAAACCATCGCGTTAATGAGATATTAAAATATCTTTATATTCCCGGTACGGGGTTTCAGTCCGGGTCCGGGAACGGGGTACAAGATTTACCTACCACCTATTCCAGGGGTGCTGAGAGCAAACGTGAGCGTAACGCCTGGATATCGAGGATGTAGTTTGACTAACTACCATCCTCGATGCTCCAGGGGTTACGCTCTCTTTAGCCCTCTACACCCCTGAAATATGTGTCATAGCAAAATTGCAAGCACACGGCTGGCTTTTTGATCGGTGTCAGGTAAAAAAAAACACTTCCCAATTACTTGTCCTTTGAAGATTACAGAGGAGCGACGCCCGACTTCAAGGAAATTTCCAGGAATGTTTTTCATCCCTAACCATGAAAAACTTGCTGATAACTGCAATAAGTTGGTACACGCATAATTGGCCCATTTTTAGACATTAAAAAAAACACTGTCGCTGTCTCATGGTGTCATCCAGCACGCTGTAGGTTTGTGTTATAAAAACATAAAATGAAATAAAAAATATCGTCACCCTACCAACAGCAGAAGATACACCATGACGTCACACATAAAAGTTCCGGTCACGTGATACAATCATCAGTTTGTCGTCCAGGAGTTTGTCCACTTGTACTGAAAATAAATTGAGAAGGGAAGCTTTATCACTAATATCGACTGTCAATCAATAACACATTTGCTTAATAGCCAAACAATCACTTTGATTAAACAATCCGGAAATTTTCAAATGTGCGTTTCTTATATTATAAACATGTGCGTGTAAACCATGGTATGAAAAACACTTTTTATATTATTTCGTTATTTGGTTCGTGTTATAAGTTTTAGCGTCCCATTAAAACCCTAAATAAGTAAAGGAAGTGCCTCCATGTGTGCATCCTCGATATCCAGGGGTTACGTTCATTTTCGCTCTCAACACCCCTGGAATAGCAAAATTGAAGGTACGAAGATAGCTGTTTGATTTGTCTCAGGTTAAAAAACTGACCAATCGCTGAGCTGATACCTGTCCTTTGAATATTAAGAGACGCCCGACTTCAAAGCCTGTCAATTTTTACCATTACGTGACCGCGAGAATTTTCTGATGCATATCAAAGGATCGAACTAGTTTCCTTGTTTCAACAACATTTTGCGCACACCGAGCCTTCAATCTTGCTATGACATAGTCCAGGGGTATAGAGAGCGGAAGTGAGCGTAATCCCTGGATATCGAGGATGCCATGTGTGCTATGTATGCGTTTGTTTTAGATGCGGAACGTTTGTGTAATTGACCTTTTTTGCGATAGCGCGGATCTGATTATGACTTTAGAATGCTATATAATGAAATACCATGCCAAAGGCACCAAACACAGCTAGTACTTCGCCCTGTAATATACCACTGTAGCGTGAAAACCAGTCTTTGTGCTCACTTTTAATGTTGACCGTTAAGCAGGAAATAATTACTACCAATTTTGAGTACGTTGGTATGTCCAATCTTTATGTAAGTAAAACAACAAAGATACACTACATAATGAACATACATTAGAGAAAAATATAACTTGTCTTACGTGTCATTACCATAAAAGATAACGGTAACACACGTAACACGTGGTTTAAGTAATATATAAATACAATATAGATGAGATGACTAACCTTGTACACTTGAACAGTTCTGTCTGTAAACCCCAGCCAAATATCGTCATCAGTCATGGTCATGGCCATCGGGGTATGTTCCTGTGTCGACTGAAGGGTCAGCATTGGCAGACAGTCTCTGGACACAAGCTGGATACGCCTACTGTGGGCCTCGCAGAGAATGATGTTATCGAATTTGTCGAAGATGAAATCAGCAATTGCATACTTCGTGTCCGGTTTGTAGGTAGTGGTATCAAACTTCTCTTTGCGAGACACGACCTTGCCGTTGCCTAGATACCGTAAGCGTACCGTGAGGTCTGAATTGAGGAAGACAAGGTGATTGTTGCTTTTGTCTGTACTATTTGTCCCACCTAAAACTTCTCCCGTGTTGCTGATCCTCATCCTCATAGGCCAGACAAACAGGGCGTCACCCCGGTCGTCGTGACGAGCCCGATCTTTCCTCTCTCCCTTTTGAGAGTATCGAACCAGCACTCTCTTACTTTTGGAGGTAACATTGAAGCTACGCTTTTCCATCAGTGTTACAAAGAGGTCGCCACTTGGTGCTGTACATATGTAGTTAGGATACAGTTTCCCTGTAGAGAAGGCTGATGTGACCCTCCCGCTGGGTAGAGAAACCTTTCTGATCTCCCTTTCATCAAATCCACATACCAACAGTGTGTTTTCGCCAACGGCAGTCATACTAATAACAACAGTATCAAAGGTCACATTTTTCTGTACCTGTCCGGTTCTATCAACAAGAGTTATTTCCCTTTCATTTTGACACGTTAACCATGTATTTCCGGTAGATTCGCCACACATCCGCGTCACATAACTAGTTGCATTATGTTTAAAGGAGGACTGCAAGACTAGTTCTATTCCCTGTCGCATGATGTGACCGCCAGCACTGGAGCCTCTGTTGGTAGGATGAATGAGATTGGTTGGCGCTTGGGCTCCTTGTAAGAACTCCCTCCCTTCCAACTCGACGTCCTTGCCTCCGAACATGAGTTTCAGCTGATGCGTATTCACTTTGCCGGAGGTAAACTCGATACTGGCTAGTTCAGGGTACACCTTTCTTTGTTCATCAAAATCTGTGAGTTTTCGTGAACCGTGCACCACTGCAATATCCTCTTTTTCAGCTATGACGCGTCTGATATCCGCTCTGTGGCGTTTTATATTTTCTAATTTAGATGAAATGTCTTTGATCGCGTCTTGTAACTGTACACAATTACATTGAGTTTGAATCTCGTACTTGGATATAAAGTCATCAGCCATTTCGTTAACAGTGTGGATGAGAATTAACCTTTGTGTGTTGATTGAGTCGACTCTTTCTTTCTGTTCACTGTCTTGTTGCCTTTTCATCACCCTTGCCTCATACAAATCCGACTCCAAGCTTGTAATCACTTTACAATAATTCGCTTCCTTCGAGTTGAGTTTTCTTTTGATGTCGTCTGCAATCTTGCTCGTTTTCCCGAACACGTGACCTTGGTGTAGTTCGCCAGTGATACATTCTACACAAACAAGTGTAGCATCACATGTGACGCACACGGCAGTTACCTGGATACCCAGATGTACTCCACATTCTATGCTTAAATTTCCCGCCATATTATTTGTTAGGTAAGTACAACACAAACTTATGTGAGTCTCCAATAGTGTAAACACTGTAAAACCGTATAACACGGGAAAACGGCGCCCTCTATAATTCTTAGTAATTCAGATTATCGTTGTTCAAGTATTTAATTACGCCCTTGATTATATATCCGGATTCAGCAATTACGGCCCGTTTTCCACAATTAGTTCAGCACAATAAGAATGGTCGCCAATCCGACAGCAGAAAGTATTGGTATACATAAAATCTTGTTTGTAATGTTTTGCATAATCCGTGTCGTCCAAGTTCTAGTAATTGTCCGCTGCATCCGACAATACGCCTTCAGGTTCAGCCTCCTTATCTAACAATAATAAAACAATATATATAGATAAATAAGAAATAAAAAAACATTTCCACATCAGACTCCTTATCTTATAAAACCAAATAGATGAATAAGTAAATAAAAATAAAATAAATGGATAGAAAAAATTTAAAAGAATATGAAATAAATATTCGAATAGATCAATGAGATAAAAAATAAATCAATAGAATAAGAATAAAGAAATATCATTAAATATAAATATAAATTAATTAATTAATTGATCATTAATTAAATCAATAAATAAAAATGAATGATTACAATAAACAAAGAAAACTTTCACATCAGCCTCCTCATCTATCAAAAAAAAATCCATGAATATGTAAATAGAAATAAATAAACTGAAAAAAAGGTTATAAAATAGATTTATAAAATAAAATAAAAATATTAAGTAAGAATAGATAATAAAATAGATTAATAAAATTAAAATAAATAAATTAAGTAAGAATAGATAATAAAAGGAAATAAAATAAAGAACAAAACACTCAAGTGCTTTAATGCAACTGAAACGTACCGAATCAAAGAGTTTCCGGTTTTCCTTTTGTACTTTACCTCAGATTAAAACATACATGAGGAATAAAGTATATATAAGTTATACTGTATTGAAGACAAAGTACACTGAGGTAATATTAAACGAGCACTGTATTCTAACAAACATTATACATCTCCTGCCCATGATACACGGAAACACGATTCTCTGCTTTCCCGAGATTTATCATGTTTCACGGTATCCTCATTATCCAGGGGTTACAATCACGTGCGCTCTCTGTACCCATGGGATATGGCATAGCAAAATTGAAGGCACACAGATAGCTGTTTCATTGGTCTCAGCTAAAAATAACCTGACAAATCGCTAGGCTGATACCTGTCCTTTGAAGATTACAAAGGAGAGACGCCTGACTTCAAAGATTTAACTAGTCTTCTTGTCTCATCAACAAGGTGATGCACATTGAGCCTTCAATTTTGCTATGTCATATCCCAGGTGTGCAGATATGGAAGGGGAACACCGCCATTATTATTTTTTTTTTATGTAATATCAGTTACTTCTGGTTTGGAATCTAATAATATGTAAATTTGTACTATTTCTCTAGTTGATAAGTGTCTATTTTCCATGCTATGTACATTTGTGTTGTTTCACTCATTTACAAATCTATTGCGTGTTCATTCCATGCTATGCTACTTTTCAATCCATGCTATGCTAGTTTAACCGATCGCTATTACGTGTTAGCTTGTAGTATTCAATCCATTCCAGACTTAGGTGATGTATATAATCAGTAAATTTTATCGGTTAATCTGAAGCTTTCGTCATTGTTGTAAAAACAGCAATTCGAAACTAATTTTTAATTCAGAAATAGCTAGCTAGTCAACTAGTAAACGAGTAAGCCAGCAGTTGAAATACGAGAGGTTTCCTCATTATGACTACAAGCGGCGCTGCGATCATCTTAAATATACACGGACCGCTCCCCAACCGCATCCGGATCACCGTACGGACGCAATGTCGTTATTTGTTTATGTTTTGACTATTGTATTTTTAAGGTTCTTATATTCATTACTGCATAAATTGAATATATGTTCAAGAACATTGATGTAGACTGGGACAGTGCGAGAAACATTTTAAGGGCCTACATAAGAAGAACAATTAGACTTGATCAAGTCCAGAAAATAATCACATAAACTAAATGCGAGTCTAATCTTGACGGAGCGTAGAGCTTTTCCTCCGCACTCCAATACACACATCTCAAAAAAAGTGAAAAAAACAAGCAAAAGGAACTATATCATAAGATAACGTATTCAATCATCTATGTAGGTTACATGTTGCAGTAACTTCACAATCTCTTATATTACCCCCCTATGACAATCTCACCCCACCGCCACCCCAATTACAATTACTTCTTTATCACCTGTACTTTGCATGTCTTATTCTTATATATACATTTTAGCTGAAGTTTGGAGAAGAGTTTGAAGTGGCTTTTGGGACAAGATTACCATAGGTCAAAGAAAAGAGAAGAATATGAACCAACTTCCTCCACCTAACAAGTTATTTTTAGAGTCAATCAGAGTAAAACATTATGTGTTTTTGTCCATACCAATGACACAGGAGTTTTTGATAAGAATGTTTAATTGAAACAAAATCATACATACTTTCAAACCCAACAAAAACGTGCTGTCATCAATATCCACTGCTTCATAGACGAGTCCATGTCAAAATTTAGTAAATTCACAGACTTAATTCTGTGGTAAATTATACAATTGTGAATGGTAATATATTTCTAACAGAATAATTCAAATCAAATAAATAACCTTTAATTGCTCTAATATAATGACAAATATATTTAGTTTGCAACACTGAACATTTTTTCAAAGTTAATATCTATGCTGCATTTACAATTACCCATAAATGCAAAAGTTTATTTATATTTTGAATAAAATAAAGGCAACGAAGTGTTTAATGAAAGATCAGATTAAGCATCCTCATCATGCATGCATGCATTTAGTAGAGCAACCCTACCTGCATCATTAATTTAAGTTTTACCCATATAATAATTATTGTTACTGAGATATGGACTTAAACAACTTTTCTTAATGTGCACTGATGTACAATGTAGAAGGACGTCAATGAAGTCTAAAATGTAAGTCAAATTCAGCATCTACACACAATAATCAGTGTCCCTATAGCTGTGTCATTGATGCAATCATAATGCATGTATTACCTAGATGTACACAGAAATGGACCCAACACTTTTTCTTAATGGGAATGGAGGGCGAGACCGAATCCATGTATTCACCCTCTGCAAACTTCGTTGAGTAGAGGCTGGGAATAATAAATGTTACTTGTGAGCAGAGACGTATACGTTTCTGTTGTGAGGCAAACATACAAAGATTAAGATAAATAACAACATACATATTTACATCAGTCAATGATTTAATTTCATAAAAAAATATCAATATGCATAAAAGTTAACAAAACAATCACTTTCATGTACATGTATTTGATGGAACAATTAAAAACAACTTTATGTTATGGAGATAAGCCGAAAACTGTACAATATGTGTGAGAGAGAACAGATTCGAGGCCCGTTAGGGCCGAGATCTGTTTTCTCTCACACATATTGTACAGTTTGAGGCTTATCTCTAACTTAAATCATAGCACCCCTTTATCTTAATATAGAACACCTTTATTTTTAATATAAACCTGTTTTGTAGCCTTTGTCTAGGAAAATTGGCTTTCTTTTGAAACTACTAGGGTAGCTCTCCATCTGTGCATCCAACCATATCAATACTATTCATCACATATAACACAGCTAAAGGTAACATCATCTGTTCTCTCTCACACATATTGTACAGTTTTCGGCTTATCTCCATAACACATAACACAGCTAAAGGTAACATCATGACAGGTAGTTTTACCTCTGACTGTGTTATATGTGATGAATAGCATCGACATGGCTGAATGCACAAAGCATGCTGTTGGGGTGCCCGGTTGAGTTATGTAAGTTCATTTTCACCATGTCATCCGACAGTGATGCAGGATTTTTCCTTACCCAATCTACGTGTTGTAATCCTAGTCATTCCAAGGACACAGACAGCGTTCTAAGTGATGTTTTATCATTGGAGGAACAGGGAAATTTACCAAAAGTGGATTTCAATCTAAGAAATGACATGTTTTCTGATATATCTGATAATGAAATGCAGGATATTACCCAGGAAATGCACCTAGTAGAATAGCAACAGTCATCCAGGTTTCCAGCCCCACTACAGGAAGGTGACCTTGAAAATGTTCTGAAGAAGGGTTTGTGTCAGAATACAGAATATAAGACCAAATGGCCCATGAGGGTTTTAGAAAACTCATGGTGCATGTCAGTTAAGTGGTACAAGGTTCGAGTTTAGTGTCATCTCCAAACAAATAAATTAAAATGCTTTGTGAAAAACAGGAATATTCCATTCCTTCGGGCAGCAGAGAACTCAACATAAAAGCTGCAGATATGTGTTTCACTCTAAAATTCTAAAAAAAAAGAAATCCTGGAATATACCTGGAATATGTGGAGGCATTTTGTGTCTGTTGACACATTTCCTTGGAATAAATTTAGTTCAACTAATTAATTATGTTGTATTTTTTATTGGTAATTGAAATAAGTTTTTACAAAACATAGCTGCCTGTATTGTCCTTTTCTGTTTTGAGTAGGGCATTATAGAGACATTACATATAACTATCCAATAAGATACCTGTAACTGTCTTATAAGTGACTGTCCAATAAGAGAGTCACATATAAGACAGCCAGGTAACATATGGGACAGTTACAGGTAGTGTTCCCATACTGACGCAATTAAAGTACAGAAAGAACAAAGGATGACATCACAGCTATGTTTTAATTTTAAATAAAGCAATGCAAAGGAATACTGACTAAAATATAATCATCATGAAATATCATGACCCAAGACCAGTTATTAAGAAACTGATGCCTGTTTTTGACACCTGTGACCTTGAAAGAAGGTCAAGGTAATCTACATGATGAAACCTTAAAGTATTTATCCCCGGTATTTGCTGACCAAATATAAGGCCCCGTGCTTTTCAATTTAAAGAAAAAGTTGACAGAGAGACTTATGACAGACACTTCACTATACCATAAGATTCTGATATACCATTCATTCTGACTGGTAGTGAATTACAAAGCAAGTTTCCATCTCATGGTTTGCATGTCTTTAGAAAGCTTCTGTTGTTGTGTCTCGAGGATGTCGCTGAATAAAGAGGACAATTAAAATAACAAGTTAAAACTATGACGGGTTATCCATATAAATCTTGACATTCCTATTAGGTAACTTAACAAAATATTGAATTATTTTATTGATCAGCATGAAGTTTAATTGTAGTGTGTTTAATATGTCTTTGTATTAAATATCACTTAAGTGACAGACATCTGGTTTCAAAAGCATAGCCGATGGTCAGTTTACTGGAAGTAGTAAACCGATGGATGAATGATTGCATAATTATTAAGTCTATAAATGTATGTGCTTAATAACTGAATCAATAGACAGAGTTGTTAGGTTTCCTGCTTCAGTATTTTACAACATTAACTATAACATCAATAATATAATAAATATTGAGCCAAACAAGAAATGTTGTTTGTTTCCAGTTACCCTCCCTAATGATTTGTACCTCCTCTATTTTTGGTAAAATTTCAAGGAAGCACTGTTTAAGTCAGAATCACTTCCTACATAAGCGTTGTGAAAAAAGGAAAAAACACATTAACTAAATGTACTCAACCCTAATTCCTATTTTTGTTCAGACATGTAACAGGAAACCATCCTATTTTTTATGCCTACCTATTATTTTGGTAAAATTTCAAGGAAGCACTTTTAACATGTAACACGAAGTGAACCTGATTTTTTGTTTGTTAAGCCTTTAACAAAATAAATGGATCAGAATTACAATCTACATTTGACACATGAGTTCAGTAATGGACAGATCAAATTATGGAATTTGAACACGTAATCAATAATTGAAAAAGCCAAGCTGATCAATTTTGAGTTATATTATCAATTATTGGCCCATCACTAGTTACCATTAGATGTAAAAAAAAAAATAACGAGACAAACAAGAGGCCTAGAGGGCCTGATTCCCTCAACTGGATATTTAAACAACCACAGGAACATATTCTGATTAAATACATCATGTACTGCAGCTATAGGCTCTGTCTCTCAGCATATTGAAAGAGAATATCTAAACACTTATCAATATTTCCCCCCTATTGGACCCCGCTCTTCTGCCCCCAGGAGGGTCACACCCTCTGTTTATACAAAATTGGGTCCCCCTTTGACCAAGAATACTCGAACTCCTGGCCAAATGTAGTCAAAATCCACTGAGTCGTTCGACTTCAGGACAAGTGGACACCAAGGATGATGCTTACCAAGTTTAAAAAGATTCATTCCCCGGTTCTTAAGAGAATATCTAAAAGTTTACAGACGGGTGGTGACCTTATAATTACTCACACATACTAGCATATAAACAGTTTCAAACATTGTGAAACATGATACATTTGTATATGCAATACTTCCATTGTTCAGGAAATGCCTCTTCACTGTAGGAGTTGTTCAGGTATCAAGGAAGTAGACGGTGTGCTGTCAAAAATTAGTGATCCGGTTGGCAAACTGGCACTTCATAACACTTCATGCTGACCGAACCAGACCTGCAACAATTATGTATTTGAGATTTCATTAATATTTGCTAAATGTTGTACATAATGCACATGACAATAAATTATAAAGACTTAAAACAAGTATTTCCAATTAACTTTAATCAAAGATATGTTTGATAATTGGTCAGCAATATTGACATCCAATATCTCTCTACAACCACTGTTCCCATGAACTATAGCTATATATTTATCATCTCCTATATGAGACAAGTTTTAATATGACATCTGCAACAAAAGCATATGGGCAGGCCAGGATTATGCAAAGTTTCCTCGAATGAGGCATACTTGTTGAATCTGATGTCATCACGATCTAATAACAGTAGGAAATTTAAATCTTGATTTTTATGCTAATTTCAGGCTGTTAGTTTTAATTAGCTGATCACTGTATGCTGTTCTGAATATGAAATTTGCATCCACTTCGCAAATTTATCAAAATTAATTATGAAGCACGAACAGGAGAAAAATGTACAGATGGTTCACAGGTATTTGAAATCCTTACAGTAAATATTGAGATAAAAATCATATAAAACATAAGGGTATTGCTACCTTTTTTTGTAGTAATACCCTTATGTTTTATATGATTTTTATCTCAATTTACAGTCAGAATTTCAAATATACTTAATTGATATCAAAGTTTTACTTGCTACATAACGTATTAAACGTGTGGGAATCTTCCAAGACCGACTTGTCCCTTTGTCAAGCTATGACAGCACCAATATCAGTTGTGTATTTCAGACATGCATTTGTAACGAACCCCTGTGTACAGGGTTAACATGTTGCCCGTAACCAAATACTTATGTGGGATTTCGTTATGGCTACGACATCCTAACTATAAATATGACGATTTTCTGCTACGCTACACACAATTTTGACTCAAACCTAAATAGATTACAGTTCAATTGCTGTCATAACCAAGACTTACCGCACTGTACGTGTCGACTGCATTTTCCAAAATCTACTGCCACAATCGGGTATGTTTCCGGTTTAAGGGAGCGAGCATTATTTTCAGCGAATTTCGTTGGCGATTAAAGCGCCGGCTTGTTGTCTTAATGAAAACTAAAATTCAATAATAAATTCTAGAATGAATTCTAGAACTTTAGTTCCTAATTAAGACGACAAGCGGCGCTCCATCATAAACGTTAGTTTCGAATCTTTATTTTTTAACACGAAATCGCGATCGGTAAAACTAGCATAGCATGGAATGAAAAGTGGCATAGCATGGAATGAACACGCGATAGATTTGTAAATGAGTGAAACAACACAAATGTACATAGCATGGAAATAGACACTTATCAACTAGAGAAATAGTACAAATGTACATAGAATTATATTCCAAACCAGAAGTAACTAATTCTATAACTTATCAACTAGGGAAATAATACAAATGTACATAGAATTAGATTCCAAACCAGAAGTAACTAATTCTATAACTTATCAACTAGGGAAATAATACAAATGTACATAGAATTAGATTCCAAATCAGACGTAACCAATTCTATAAAAAAAATAATTATGGCGGTGATCCCATTCCATATGCAGAGAGCGTAAGTGAACGTAACCCATGGAATATCGAGGATGTTTTTTTCCGAATAACCCAAATGTTTACTGAACCGAGTAAAATATTCCTAGTTATTTCGAATATTTATAGAGAAACTTTGTACGGCATTAACTTGTACATGTATAAGCACAAACTTCTGATTAAATCAAGCGGACATTACACTGAACCATGTTACTGTAACTATATTAGGTCGGGTTGGGGGTATTATCGAAAATACATTTTACTGCTCTTTCTTACCACCAGTGTTAAGTTATGTATCAAATTGTATATGTGTAGGGTGGTTTTGTTTGGTTTGTTTGTGTTTTACGTCCTATTAATAGCTATGGTAATTTAAGGACGTGCCAGGTTTCGGTGGTGGAGGAACACCTGATTTCCCGGAGAAAACCCACCGACCTACGGTCAGTACCTGGCGACTGTCCCACGAAGGCCTCGAACCCGCGACCCAGTGGTGGAGGGCTAGTGGTAGCAGAATGTCAGACGCCTTAACCACTCGGACACCGCGGCCTCTGGGTATGGTGGCTGATTGACAACATTTATTTAATTTTAATTTTCGGTGTTGTAACCATGACATGGCACAAATTAGGTACCGTAAATGGGGGGGTTCTCCTAGACTAAAATCAAAAAGGGGCAGTCGGCCAAAGTAACCATAAATAAAACAGAACAAAACGTGCTATAGTTATATCAAAAACGAAATTAAAGGGGAGGGGGTAACTGTATTTACGAAAATCCGCATTGTGTGGGACAGGTATCCTTCATATAACTGATGGTAATTTGTACTTCTCAGATTATATACCTTATTGACAAATTTCAAAAACCCAAGATGAACATTATGATCTACTCGGTGATTAAAGGGGATATATATATACGATCATGAATGCGGTGAGGCCCTTCCAAACATGTCAGTGTTCTCATATTTCTGCAAGTTTCTTAATAAATGACTTCGAAATATGATATGCATCTTTACCATAATATCCTGAACATGATTTCGACTTTCATTTGTTTTCAGTGAACTTACCTCTTTGTGGGATTTTTTGCTTGTTTTTGCGTTCACGTCTTTTGTATTTGATTACGGTCATCTTTGGGTCACTTGGGTGATAAACATATTCCTTATACAGCTTGTCCATGTCACATGTTTGTTCTGATTTCTAATTTCCACCGAACTCTTATTGAAAAGCGACAATTGTCACTTCAACGTATGCCGCCTCTAACAATCACACAGCATCTCCCCGTACAAAAGTCTCGGGAACTTTTAAAATATACGGTCTGTTTCCCTCCACAAGAATGTTACTTCCTCGTACAGATAACCTGAAGGACAAAATCGTGATACAAATGATTAAAAAATATATATCGTGTTCGTTCGGGTTGAGAAAACAACTAGCACAATGGTGCAGGCAAACATGCCAGACCTATGCGTGACGGCGTTCGTTTCACCTCGTGGTAGAATTTCACATACTACTGGTAACTTAACACTGCATTATTATTATCTAGGTGGAATTTTTGTATGTTGTTGACAATGATAGCTACTTGTCGTCTGCTGGATAATTGATACATAGCTGGTTGGTTGTGTGTCGTCTTATGTGATATGTGAAAACAGGAAAAACTATATTGAATTCATTCATTACTGTGTTAAAATTACTTATTATTCAAACTAACCCTAATGTGAACCATATAGTTTTTCCTGTTTTCAAATATTTTTGTAATGATTTTATTTTTCTAAGTTTTTCATTACATATACATAAACAGGACATTCACGCATTCTCACATATATCACATATACACACACGGACATGGATTAAGCATTATCACAATCAATTTCATTGTCATCATTCTATCATCATCAACATATCATCATCATCATTATCTTTATCATCTTCTTCATCCTCTTTCATATATACTTATTCAATCATCATCATTGCCATAATCCATCATCATCCAAAATCTTCAATCATCATTTCATATATATCATCATCAACATATAATTATCATCATCATCATA